ACGATTAATCGCCCGGTGTGTGACGATTTTGGGGACATGGGAAGAATTGTTGAATGAGAGACGTAATGTCCAATAAATTGTTTTAAGAAAAGAGAAATAAAATATCTTACGATTTCAAACGAGGTCACTGGAATAAACTGATCGCATAAAGTTTTTCTGTAAAAAATATTTTTCAATGTAGTAACATCATTGATTAGGTTTAAATATGAAGAATATTAATGGAGACTGTTATCGACAAGTAAATTTATTTACTTCTTGCGTTATGAAAAGATTTATACGCTACGAGCAAGGAACACGAATAAGGCTAAGATTAGTGGTCATATTGATCAAAGTGAAAGGAAGATTTCAAATCGGTTTCAGAGCGGGTGTGAGTGAATAAACGCAATACTCACAATCTTTCTCATTCCCACATATTCACCTCACTTTTCACCAGTCATCATCGTTGAATAAAGCTTTAGTTATCCCAATAGTCATTCAAGCAAGTTTTCAAGAGACTTTTATGTGTGGGATGTCGAGCAATTGTGTGACTGGCTACAGATCTTTTGCTTATCCACACCCATGCCCATACTTTTAATAATCTTCAAAGACCATTAGTGCATAGTAAGACATGAAGCAATATTGCATAAGCTACCAATAATATCAAGTAATTCTACACTATCAATATCATTAAAGTCATACAACCAATCCAGATGTCAATTAAGAACTAAATCAATTATATCAGTTAGATTTTCCTCAACTATCATTATTAGAATACTGGTTTCAATATGAACCATAATTTTGTGTTCTTCTCGAAAATATCTCATTTCAAAATAACTATTTTAGGTTTCATGATGTATAGTCTCTAAAATACGTTCTTTTTGAGACTATTGTTTTACAAGGAACCAATATTGAGACCATAAGAACAAGCATATACCACTTTTCGTAGTATCAATTATATGCAAAATCAGTCGGAAAATATGATAATTGCCTGTTCTAATTTAGCATTTACTTTAGAATCGAATCAAAATTAAAAATTCACTATGATTTCAACAATTAAAAATATCTTTAACCTTATTGTTGCCTCAAATTACTCGTATAGAGCATTCGGTATCTTCGGATGGTATGTAAATTTGTTCAATTAAACAGATTTAAAGCGTGAAAAATAATCATGAATAGAAGTAAATAATAAATATGAATGCCTGAAAATTTGCAGATATTAGACAGTTATTAATACTAAAAGTTTCAACATGTTGTCAATTATTCAAATTTGAAATATGAATTAATCACAGTGAAATCAAATCTATAAGTTAATCACACGTTTACGTTAAAAAAATATTCACCAAAAATTGATTAATTAAATATTAAGATCGATACTAATTGAAGGATACTTAAATCTGAACTATTCTTAGTCATTTTTTTAATAATTGATTCAATTTCATTAATTTAAATTTAAATTTAAGAAATTTAAATATCCCCACCAGATGTCGACCAATCGATCTGAACTTTTTACCAATGATAGAAGCATATTCAAAGTTTATATCCATAAAGACATGCCTAGAGAGACCCTTTGTTAAGTATCACTATTGACCACAATACAAAAATTTTACTTTTTCACAGATAGGACAAAAATGATATACTTAACAAAGAGTTTTTCTAGGCATGTCTTTATGATTATAAAGCTTGCACATGTCTCTATCATTGATAAAAAAATCAGCTGGTTTGCTCCAGCGGTAATGGAGATATTCAATTTTTTTGTTCGGCAAAGTGACTTTTGCGCCACTTTGTATATTTTTTTTTCGATCTGTGAAGAAGTAAAATTTTTGTGTTTGTGGTCAATAGTGATACTTAACAAATGGTCTCTCTAATGACGATTTTTCATTATCAGTTCGTTGATAAATAAACCAGATCTATTTTAATCAAGTAATGTCAAACTACACCTTTCCGTCAATTTAATATATAGATCGTTGAAGTGTTTGTTTCATACTTTGAAGATTAAAAAATTAAAACTATAATCTATTGCTTCCATAATCCAATTTTGAAATCAGACAACGTCATATTGACATGTTACTGTCACAAAAATGAGAAACAAGCTGATCATATGGTCTATATAGATACTCAATCAATTTCAGTCGACGTCGATCAATTATGAGAAGAATTTTTTTACAAAGTTTATCAGTGTAATTTCATTATTCTTTTCTTATATGCTTAAAATTTTAATGCCGAGCTCTGATAAATGCTTTATTATTAAATAAATAAGTCGAAACGAGTTGTCGAAATTAACTCTGCATTTATTTTAAATTACTTCAATCAAAACACATTTATTCTTAATGTAAATATTACGACTAGGTCGATTGCTGAAAAGCAAGAGTTTAGACTAACAGATTGATCTGTTTCAGTTTGGTTTATGTACACTCTCAAGATTTATGTAGAAACAAAAGTCTATACTAATTAAAGTATATTCTTGGGGTGTTTTGATTGTTTTTCTATTTTACACTTTCTTTTCGTATGTCTATGAAGTAATAATAAATATGACAATGATGATAGTTAGTAATGTTTAAGTGTTAATCAATGTTGACACTTCATTTTTATTTCTTTGATAAAAACATCTTGCTTCTCAAAGGGTTAGTTCAACTGTAAAATCTCGCATTACTTTTTCTTTCATTTCTTCTCTCTGCATGTTGTAATCGTGGTACAGGGAATGAAGAAAAAAGAACAAGCCTTCCAGTGTTTAAAATCTTCTCCATTCCAGAGTTACAATAGAAAAAGTGCAAAAAGAAAGAACGACGCCAAGCTCTGTAATAATTAAAAATAAGAGAGTAGTCAAATTCCACAGCAAACATGATGATACTGATTAATCATATTCTTCTAGTAATGAATCTTGCTATAGATACTTTTTGCATTCGATTAACTGATCAATATTGAATGTTTGTCACTGTATAGAAGAAAGCAGAAAATTGAACTCAACACACTAAAAACACTTATTCGAGGAAAACGTTGCACATTTATTCGTACAAATGAACATTTTCTTTCACAAGTAATTCATTTCACGATGGTCGACATACAAACGGGTTTCGTATCACATTTCGCAAACGAGTTTTCACCAATATGTCATGTTGTTCATCATTATTTTCCATAAACAGGTAATGACTGAGCTTATTCCTATTGTTAAATATGATGTAACGTTCTATGAAATAATATATACTATTATCTAGTAAAGAAATAAATAAAAAATATTGTATGGATAACATTTCTTAAGAACACCATGCACATCAAACTTGAATGTTGAAACACTTTGATCAATTACTGAATAGCTAAATAATTAAAGTCAAGATATTCAACTGTTCAATTATGCAACAATTGAATTAGATACTTTAAACTATTCATTAATTGAGTGATCTGGAAATAAACGTACATCTGATTCAAAGTGAGTATCATTAAATCACAGACAAACAACATCTATCTTGATATGGGTGCCACGAAAATAAATAATTGCAAACTTGAACATCATTAGTTCAATATATTTACTTCAATTTGTTAATAATAAAGTAGTTGAATGTCTGAGAAGATCTTGAACAATCAAATTCAACTTTCAAACTTGACACGGTTATCTCTGTCCTGTGACTATCAATTTTTCATCTACATTCATGCTATCCTCAATGAAATTGTTTAATTTGTCTTGGTAATCGTTTCAAAGATAAAAGATACTTTTTTCGCTCATTTCGATTCATCAATTACCACATTCTACACATTTTGCAAAGCACCTTGACGGTGATTGTATATGAGTGTTAACCTAATTGACTATTACTTCTAAATTGACAACTGTTAGATCAGACCGCGACTCTGTTTGATTCTGGTCTAAACCCACAGACTTTTACCACATTGTTTTTGGTTTGTCATCATTTTTCTTTTGACAATTAATACCAGAGAAGAATTGAGTTAAGTACGTTGAATCATCCTCTTCGAACAAAGAAAATAGATCGTTAGCATTGTTCTCTGATAGCCTATTAAATGTATGTATAAAAAAAAGGAAATAACTATTAATGAAATGCATCATATTGTCTTTCTATAAATCCTTGTAGTTGCTTTGCTCATGAATAATAGATCACTATGTATATGGTTCTTCTATACTTGTATCGATGATTCATCGTATTGTCTTATCTTTTCCTCAGTATAAATTCAATATTGATATAAATACGTATAAATATATGGCGAAAGAGAAACAATAAGATGAACATCATCAGCCTCACCCTACATTAGACACTTCTCTATCTCACAATCAACAAACGCCATACGTAAGTATGTTGCCACATAACTCGCAATATGTCCACATATTCTACTCATAAAAAGAATTATATCCATTTGCCAATACTGTTCTTCAACTTTCGTCTTTCGCTGAATGCGTAATTTCAATCTTAAAAATGGAGAGTCAATGATAGAGAATAGTGAATTATATTTCTGGTAAATTAATGCTTTAAATGAATAGAGAAACTGTCGTAAATGATAAATCAATGTCATACTTTTTCTTTCAGATGACTTGTACTTACGCATGAACTAGATTGTTTGTGGCATTTGCATGTATGGTTATGTCAATGAATCTATTTCTTTATGAAACCTTACTATGAATTTGGAAGTGCCAAAAAAATTTTCTCACGGACAAGTATTGATTATAACTAAATAACATCATATTCATTCATTTAGTCATTTATATATAATTATAGATTTCTACAACTCAAAAACATCTACTTGAATGACTATAAATCAGTGGTTTGAAAAATTTGTTTATCCCGAAGTCATAGCAACACTTCAATAATTCATCTTTGTTGAAAAAACGATTCCATTTCTCGCGAATATGTCGAGTGCAGACAACAGCTCCAACAACGACATATCATTGTTTAGTTCCGAACAAAAGCAATTTTATGCAATACAATTTCGGGTTTTAATTATGCTTTAAGTCATTTTCACCTACACCTATGTTTCGTCTCGTATGGGGATATGTTGACTGAACATTTTATGGACTTCAAATGTTCTTATATGCTTGGGCTACAATCGAAAGACATATTCTTATCTTTCATAATGGTTTAATGTCTACACGAACGAAAGTTATCTTCGTTCATTATCTTCCACCAATTATAATAATTGTTTATTGTCTAGTTTATTATACGACGATATTTTTTGTTGTCGAATGTGAGAATAATTTCGATAGTACAGTTATACCAAGTTTCTATCCTTGTGCTTCTGAAAACAATGCACTATATCTATATGAAACAACAGTTAATGCAGTCACATTTACTTTTATTGTTGTTATTTCCAGTGTTTTTTTCTTAATACGTGTTTTATGGCAAAAATATCGTATGCATCAACAATTTCAATGGCGACGATATCGATTCATGATAATTCATATATTATCCATCTCTTCGATCTATTTGCTATTTCTATTTCCTTATATGATTGTAACTATTCTTAATCTATGTGGACTATCATCTGCTATAATTAACATATTTTTAACATATATACCGTTCCTTCCCTATTACACGTTACTTCTTTTTCCGATAATTATTATTGGATCTTTACCAGAATTATCAGAAAAAATCAAGGAAATTTTACAATATCGAAGACAAAGACGTACTGTTGCTCCAGTGGCATTGATGACGACACGGGGACAAAAAATCGCGACATTGTTTCATGAAATACTATTACACAGCGATGAATATCATTGTTAGATTAACATACATTTACTCACCATTAGAACTATAATAAGATGTGTTTAGTTTCGACTGTTATGGTGATGTCGTACGTCGATATAATCATTCTTTCATCTTTTTTTATCTCTATTGGCATCTCTTCTTCTCATTCTTCTTATAGATATTATACATTTGTTACATCGTAAAGAATAAAAGTTCGTGCATAATCAATCCAAAACTGTGCACACATGTGACTAAACCCATGTCGGGTGGGTGTGGGTGTGGATGTTTCAGACAGAAGCCATACACCCACACCCACACCCACACCCACACCCACACCCGCATTAGTTTTATAGATCGTCGTTCATAATTGAAAGCTAATAATGTTGACGAATAGCGTAGTGCTCTTAGAAGAGCACTATCGCTAATATTCGTGAAAATATGTTGAGGATGATCAGATTTGAATGGTACGATGTATGGTTCACCTGTCTCTTTACTATAGACTGATGTTGTCAGTATACCATTCTTGTTTTCAATATACACGTCGAGAAACGATATATTTGCATCAATTTGTGGATATGGCTATGGTAATTATCATCATCTCACCCTCACAGTCCTGTATGAGTTCAAAAACTGACAAACAAAACTCAATCACGCAGTTGTTTGAAAAGCTTGGTTGTTGCTAAGAACATCGAGCATAAACTCAGGTGAAGAGAAGGTATCTGGTGATGAAAGTGACGTATGTAGTATAGCAGAAAATCTGCATTTGCAGGCAGATTGATAATATATGGCCTAGTATCCTTTGCAAGGCAGTATTAAAAGAACATGTTTATGACCACCACTATAAAATCTCTCTAGCAAAGGCACCTCCATAAAATAGATGATTTGAAAAAGTCCTGAAAGTGTTCATCCAAGAGAATTTTACTGTAACAACATTTTTTCGATCATATATTTATTCATTATCAATTTTGACTACAGGAAAAGGCATTATTGTTCGTGTGTATAACGAAATGTATAACCTTCATCTATCTGTTTCCTTCTATTTGACCATGTGACTCTTCTTTTCTCGTGTGGCCTCTAGCATAGACTGCCGTTCATTGTCTATCTCTTCTATGTTAGCATATGTTTTGCATGTGAACGGGACGATATGTTGTGTGAAAAAGCCAAATAAAGCGAGTATTGCTACCTCACAGACATTTCTCTTTTCATTTTCGGGTGTGGGTGTGGGTGTGAGTTAACAATAGATGAACTGATTTCCACATATACACCCCACACCCGCACTCAGCCACCCCACAACCACACCGCCCACATCCACACCCACTCACACCCACACCCTCAACCCACGCCCACATCCACACCCACCCACACCCACACCCACACCCTCACCCCACACTCACACACTGAGAATTTTTCTGTAGATATTTCCTTTCATATTGTTTAACCGTTCTTCTTTTTTAATTATTTGAGCTAATGTTTCATTGTTTCTGATCATCATCATCTTCAATACATTGAGTATATTGTTATCAATCCTTTTGTAATTGTTAAGGGCGTATTCATTTTAGCAAAATACATCTTTCTCAATAAGTGTCTTGTCCTAATAAAAAGAAAAGCTTTTGAATTTGTTTTGTGCTCTCTTGCCATCCTTATAATTTCATTTGTTCTAGCATTGATACGTCGGACGTCTTGCCTGTGAATAAAACTATGTGTAAAATGTATCAAACTCTTTATTTCTTCACAACCTGAGGGTGTGGATGTGGGGGGTGGGGTGTGGGGTGTGGGTGTGGGTGTGGGGGTGGGTGTG